CCAATCAGCTTACAGAATTTTATATAATCAAGACAAAATAAAAATTAAAAAAACTTATTAACTCAAAATCTTATTATAAAAATAATGCTTTAACTTTTATACAAAAGTTTTTAGCATCAAATTTTATATACCGTATTGCCGCGAAATAACGCCTACCTGCGCATTATTTTGAATATATGCGCATTATTTAGAGTACACGCATGGACATTATTTTGGAACAAAGATAATTTTCCCGAACTTGGTTTTTCAAATTATTATATACCCGGGTTGACATCTTATTAGAGTTGCAGGTGAAACTAATTTTGAATTTCGCCAGTTTAAACCGAGTTTTTTATTGACTATTATATTTATTTTCACCAGTTTCACCAACGTTTACCAAATTTTCACGCTTCACTTGCAACTCTACACCTTATAGAGGGTGCGCGTTATTTCGGGACGCGCATGGGCGTTATTTTGAAATCATTTACGCTATTTTCATTGGGTACGATTTTCTAAATAACGCCCATGCCCGTTATTCCGCGACAATACGGTATATTTAAATCTTACTCTAACCCAAGGCTAACCCTAATCTATAACCTTAAATAATTTTAATTTTAATAAAAATTTATAATACTGGGTAATATCACCTAGAGTGAAATATAATTATTTAAAAAATAATTAATTATAAATTATATTCTTACGATCTGTTATAATTTACTGTTATATAATAATTCCTTTGGTTATATAAGTTAGATATACATAATCTAAAAGAGCTAAATTAAGAATAGGAATTATAAAATTATAATAAATTATTAGCATTAGTTGACTACAATCAGTCAACCAACTAGTTGACAAATCTAAAAAGATATTATTTTATTACAAATATGATGATTAGTCGAATAGTCAATCATTAAAATTATTATTTATTACCGTAAAAGTGCATATACAAGACCCGGGTCTCTTACACTCCACCAAAAAAATTAATTAGTAAAAAAAAGAAAATAATTAGTAAAAAATGAGGGTGGGTCTGTTATATGGGGGATCTTGTATATGCACTTTTACAGTAATTTTTTTGGTGAAATGTAAGAGACCCGAGTCTTGTATATGCGTCTTTATGGTAAATTCAAATCTATTAGTCAACACATCAACTAACAAACTATTACGTATAACCAATTAAATTTGTTTATATAATGCTAAAAATTTTGACCAACATGTTCATGTAACATTCGCGTTCACGAACTTAAAACCGGTTAGATATTAAAACTATATAGTTTTGTAGTCGAGATTGAGTCGGCTACAAACACTATCCTCGTTGGGTTAGTGCAAGTAACGGGTTATAAACTAGTTTTAATAAAATATTAAATTTAAATTATTTATAACAACACGGCATAAAAATATGTGCCATTAACATGGCTTTATGTCGTAAAAATTACAATTTACTTATAAAATATACAGATTTCCAAAATAAAAACCTTTAAATTATTAAAATTAAAATTTTAGATGTATAATATTAAAAAAAATAGTGGTTTTGTCCGGTCCAGCATTGGAGACTTTAATGTATATCAGCCAATAATCTTTAAGAATTAAGTGCTTAATTATTTTATTTAATATAAAATATATTATAAATTATAAATTAAGATTTCATATACACAATCAAAAATTGTAAAGTAAATAGAATGTATAAAAATGCCAAGATAAAAAATTTACATGAAGACAAAATAATATATCATTATTGAATTTTATAATGAACCACTAAAAGCTTTAAAGAAATACTCTGTTAAATTTTAGCTGGAAACCTTATTTTGCAACGAGTGTGAATTTGCTGCTTTTAATAGTTTATTTAATACGAATCGTGAGCCCTCGTGACCAAGTTCAGCCGCCTTAGAATAATAATAAATTGCTTGATCTATGTTTTTTTGTACACCCGTTCCTTTTTCATAACAATCTCCAAGAAAATGCATTCCAACCACATTTCCTTGTTTCATTGCTTTCTTATAACAGAAAAAGGCTTTATGACTATCTTTTTCGACACCTTTTCCAAATTCGTAACAATAACCTGACCAAACAACTCCATTTGAAGATCCTCCATCGGCTGCTTTTTGGTACCATTGAAATGCCATCAAATCATCAGTTTTTGTTCCTAAACCTGAAGCATAGCTATTTATATAAATTAAATTGAATTATTATTAAAATTAAATCTAAACAATATAAACAATATCTACAAAATCTAAATTAACCAGTGACGATATTAGTGTTTATCAGTGTTTTATTAGAGTAGCTAGGTGTATTAGCCTCACATCAGCAGGTTAAGTTTAGAAATGTGAATTATTTGACAAAAAAGTATTGTCAAACTTACCATTCACCAAGTAAATATTGGGCAATAGAATAGTCTTTTTTTGCGGCAGCAAGGTAAAGATTGTATGCCTTTCTCGTATCTATTTCTGTGCCTATGTCATGTAAATAAAAATAACCAAGGAGTGTTTTATATTCCAATTTATTTTGATTATGTGACAACCAGTCAAGAATTCTTGCCGCGTCACTATTAAATTTTTTGATAGTATCCAAGATTATTTCCGTGGTCCGCTTATCATCTCTTCCAGTATGTTGTGAATGCAAGAAGATCCCCAATATTTGATCAGCAATCTTTTTAGTTGTATCTTGATGTTTACGATAGGATAATGGTTGAGGGCTCACACTTCTTCCTCTAGAAGTATTAGACGATAAGGGTTGAGGGCTAACACTTCTTCCTCTAGAAGTATTAAATGATGGAGGTTGAAGGCTAGCACTTCTTCTGGGAGCATTAAATGATGGTCGTTGAATGCTAGGAGGGCTTCTAGAAGCATTAAATGATGGTGGCTGAAGGCTTAGACTTCTTTTTTTTGAATTACCAAGTGAAGGTCTATTAACTTCGAGAAAGGGGGATGATGTTGCCGCAGTCATTATTAAATATCGTAAGCAAAAGATAAAAAGTGTTTTTGTTATTGTTGATCGAAATACACCAATATATCGAGATTCACAAAAGAAATGTTAGATAAGAAAAAAAATTATGAGCAAAATAAATAAATTTGTAACTCTTTATATGTTACGCATTTTATTTTATTGTTACGCTATTAAGGCACCAAATTACGAATGCGCATGGTTACACGTTAGAAATCTTATATGTACATCCGGATATAATTCTGCCCCGAGTAGTCAAAATTTAGACATCTCCCCAAAACTTCATCTGATCCACAGGGGGGCAAATAAAAGAGTGAAATAGGATATCCCATTTTCCGTGTCCACTGATCAGGGTAATCCTTTTTTTTTTATTATGGGAATCCCTTATATTAATCCCCCGACCCATCATTTAAGAGATAAATAATTCTATTTGATACTCCTTTTAATTTGTATACGTGATATACTGCATTATTTGCATTGAAATACTTTATTGTATATTGTAAGAAATCTAAAATTAGAATATTTAATAATATTCGTTATTGGCCATTGGTAAATTAGTTTATGTTTTTGATGCTTAGCAAATTTACTTTTGGCACATATATAGACTGAAAATAAGCTTACCTTAATGCAATAATAATGAAATTCCGGAGAGGAACAAATTATTTTTGATGAAAACTAGGTGACAATCCATTAACACTTCAACCGTATTTTGTTGCATTCTACCATAACTTTTTTTTTAGCAATAAATACGTAATAAAAATTATTTATCGTTACTGTAAATTATGACGTATTTAGTCACAAATTAGCGTAAGATCATCATGTTTGTATAATAACAAAGTGATTTTAAAATCTTAGGATGGTCCGGTTTTCAAACAGATGTGAACGGCGATTTTCATATATCCATGTGGGAAATCGAAGGATCTGTGAAAGATTCGGAAATTTTGATTAGTAAAAATTTAAGGAGTGTCTTGAAAGTTCTAGAAGTATGCGAAACAAATTTAATTTCTTAAAAAATTGGCCGAATGATTTTTCGGCCGATTCACCGACAGTACGATTCACAGACAAGCAATTCACCGACAATACGATTCACCGACAGGTTTCTTTTATAAATTACACTAACCTAAACTCTAATTCTAACCTGACCCTAACGGCAATGACCAGAATTACTTTGTCGGTGAAATGACTGTCGGTGAATCGTACTGTCGGTGAAATGAACTTGTGAATTGACTGTCGGTGAATTGATTGTGATGAAATGAACGGAACCGATTATTTTGGCATAATAGATTCAATAAAAATTGATACGTACGTACATACGTACCAATTTTTATTGCACGGGTCTCATGTAACAACCTGTGCTTTTTTCATTTACTTATTGGTACATCAGACACTGTGCAATAATATGGTTATTATTGTGGGTTATAGAAATAACTAAATTTGCAAGGTTAACCTATGCCTTCGGCCATGCAACCAATGTCTAAAATTCAGCATCAAAATTGTGGGCTGTAGCGCATAAAATTTTTTTTTTTAAACGTGCGCAATAAAACAAATAGCACAAATAAATATATAATCCAATTACAGCTATTATCATTATTTCTGGGACACCTGAAGAATTTTCAGATGACAGAAATATCCTCTGTTTCATTCGGTAAATTATCTAGCTTTCCGGAAATTACATCGCTGTCTTCGGACTGAATGTCCGGAGACAGCAATATAGTTTCCGAGAAGTTAGGTAATTTACCAAATGAAACAGAGGATATTTCGGTCATCTGAAAATTCTTCAGGTGTCCCAGAAATAATGATAATAGCTGTAAAATGCCGCACTCCAAGCCTAAAACATATATGTATTTTGAAAATTTTAACGTGCGCAAAGCGCACATTTTTTAATTTTAAAGTGCGGAAAATTTTTTTGATGCGCGCTCCGCCCCTTCCTCACATTAATTTTAGACACTGCAACGGTTAACCCGTGCAAATTTAGTTATTTTACAACCCATACAATAACTATAACATACGTACGTACATAAGTACGTATAACAGTTGTACTGTACGTACGTACCAATTTTTATTGAATCTATTATGCCGAAATAATAACAACCAGATAAAAAACGTATCAATTCAATAAAAAATTATATACTGCAAAAGAAAAACACGTAATTTAGTAAATATAGTACTTTATTCCTCTTCAGGATTATCAACGCGTTATATAGTAAAAAAAATCTAACCAATTAAATTGCAGTATTATAGTTAATGATTTGCTAACGCTAAATTTTCAACATAACATGGTATAACGATTTACATTTATTTCGATTAGTACGGCTTTGCACACTCCGTAAATCAGAAAAATATCAATGATTTACCTTACACATACCTTTTTAAAAACGGTTTTAATCTATCCATCTCTATGATCAGATTATTAATCTACGTAGCATTTTTAGAAGACAGTACGGATTATAAAGCACTTAATGCTTGTGCTTACAGATTGTTCATATTGTTAAACACATTTAAATTGTCTATTTATATCGTCCTATTTCTATAAGAACTCAAATGATAAATAATACTACTACGAAAAAGAGCGTCCAAGGTGATGATGTTTTTGGCAGAGATTTCAAAAAGATAATCAAGATCAAAAAAAAATTTAGAATATCAAAATGCCCAAAGATAAAAAAGCTTTATATGATTATGAATATCAGAAAGGTTTTTGAAGATATATAATAATGCAAAACATCAAAGTCCGTTATGCTAAAACCACCAAAGAAGAATTTAACATATTGCAGATCTTAAAGATTTGGGCTTAATTAAAAAAGCTTATTTGGATTTTTTTTTAATATTAAGGCTTATTTTAATTTTATAATTAAAAAAAATTAAAAATATTATAGTTATTATTATTGAAGTTATTACTACAGTACCAGACAGCAAAAAACATCTAATTTTTTTTCAAAAACGCCAAATTTGAGGATTATATAATCAATTCTAATTGGTTAATTTTGTGTATAATTAATTTTGATTGGTTAAAAATATATATAGAAAGCTTTTTTTTATATAGTAAACACCAAATTTTTGATTATATATAAACTTTAAGCTGTAATAATCTTTTAATCTTATATAATAAATAAAAATCTAATCTTATAGAATTGTAGCTTATGCTAAAAACAACAAATCTGTAAGACAGATTTTTTTAAATATTATTTGGGCCTGAGTTATAATGATTTTTATATTTCATATATAAATATTAAATGTTTTTTGCTATCTGGTACTGTAATATTATTATTAAACTTATTGTTATTAAAGTTGTTATTATTAAAATTATTATTATTAGAATTTGTTAAAATGACCAATAGTTTTGTTTTTAAGAAATTATTACTATTAAAATAGATTAGTATTTAGTAAATAATATAAAATTTAATCAAATCAAACAAATTAACACCAACTCTTTCTGCTGATCATCAAAACACAAATTTCTGAATAAACAAAATTAACAAAAACTACAAAAAACACACAAAGGTCACTAAAAAACACAACTCGGAGCTCTAAACAAAGAGGAAGAGGACTACAAGAAACACTCAGTCTCTTATAAGACTTGAGTAAGAAAAGTAGAAGCAGCAAAGAAATAGAAGAAGACATGAAAAATTGTTGATATTTTTTTGCACTTTGCAATATTCTGGGAAATTGGCCTTGACCCCGAATCACAGATCTGTTTTGGTGATACAAGAATCACAATACGTAATAGAAAATAAACAAAGAAAATATGAACAAAACCACATGACGAAAGTAAACAAGAACAGCAAACAATCACAAAAAGCAACAACAACAACAACAACCAACAATAATAATGAAAAAACAATAAGTTACGTGAAGCAAAATATAGCAGAAAGTTCTAAAAAAAACTTATGTCAAGAGAACTGGTTTTAGAAATTATCCAGAACATATCAACACAAATAATTGACAAGGAAATAGACTCTCAAGTAAACAAAAAAATAGCAAATCTTGTTGAGAAAAAACTTATTACAGAAGAAAAAACCATAGTACAATTAATTAACATCTATGATGAATTACTATGATATAACAGAGAAGAATTAGAATATACAGGATGTGCACTTGCAAAAAGAAATTACTATAGCTTTCAAAAAGTATTAGATAAAAGAGAAGATCCAGTTAATTTTATTATACATGAAGAAGCATGTGGTATAATATTAGAATTATGAATAGTCAACAAAGTAGGAAGTTTACTAGAAGACAGGGAAAAACAAGATACTGAAATAAAAGCGAAACTAAAAATAGGATGGAACAAGAGACTCCAAGAGCAAAGGAAAAGCTAACAAAAACAGTACAACAAAACAGCACTAAAATCTATAGTATATCAACTTAAAGAATCTATTAAGACCACTACAGCAAATCAACAAAAAAAAAGAAGAAAAACCAAAGAAGTGAAAAAAAAAATGCAAGCTCATCTAAAAAAAAAGCAAGCTGCCATGATTAAATTGAAATTAGAAATAGATTGGAGCAAGAGACTTCAAGAACAAAGGAAAACTTAACAAAGGCAGCAAAATAAATCAGTATTAAAAACTCTAATAATATACTTTAAAGTATCTGTAGACTTTGAACTCGCTGCAGCAAAACAAAGAAGAGAAAGAAAAAAGATCAGAAAAGAAGAAAGAAAAAAGAAAGAAGTAGAAAAGGGTCAAAATATTGAAGGCATTACAGAAACAGAAACTCTAAACA